CTTGAGTGTAGGGACTGAGGCATTCAAATGCTTTCTGCCATTAATTTGGGGTGATTTTTGTTATTCTGGGACAAAGCAGGTGAGAGGAAGAGAGCAGCAGACAAATTACAGACTTGCAACAGCATCTGAGTGGTTTTGGTTCACCTTAAAGAAGAAAAATCAGGATGGGAAGATGAATTCTGATCTTGGATCACTGAGCAAGAGCAGGAAATCAACAATTAAGTCTTCCTACACCCTCTTTGGGGGTTCCAGGTGTTTGCTTGTTGGTTGTTTTTTTTTGTGGGGGCTTTTTTAGGTGGCGTAATTACTTTGCATTTGGATCTTACTCATTTTTCATCTGATTTAATGCCAAGGATAGCAGGGATCCAGAGGTCAAGCCCAAATGTTCCCATGCAGCAGCATGGTGCTTCTCTTCTTGGCAATTCTCCACGCATTCCTTTGGAAAATCTGCTCTTGGGATTCCAGTATGTTGGAAAATAAAATGTTACTTAACAGATAGTACATAAATACAATCCTTGGTCACACCAATAAATGACCAAAGAGCTGAAAAGATGTTTCTGGCTTTTGTAGACTTTAAAAGTTATGTTTAAACTGAACTCATCCCTCCCCACAGACATCTACAGGAGGAAGCCTCACCAGCTGATTGCAGGGCTTGGCTTTGCAGCTCTTCAGAATGAGTTGCAGAAGTGCAGCCTTAATAGCAGTCTTAGACACCTGCAGTTTACACTGAATATCATAAAAACTGATTTTCAGCCAAGAGTTATCACACAGTTTTTTAGTTCATCACTAGCCCATCAAAACCCACAGGTAGATTGCAAATATGAAAGAGAAGGGGGGATGTGGTCTCTCGGCAGACCAGTTTCTCTCCAAAAGATGATATTTTGAGACAGCCAAAAAAAAAGAAAGGTATTCATGTGAGAAATTAGGACAAAAAAATCTTCACCGTGCACAGGAAGGTTTTTATATAATTAAAATATTAGATTTTCTCCTCTTTTAATTGAAAGTTGGGGATTTTGATATCAGCAACTCTATTACCTTGTGTTGAGCTTTTCACTTCGTCAATGGTAGGTTTTGACAGGTATGAAATTTTGTTAATAGGACTATTTTTCTTAGGCGTGGGCTCAGATATTTTTCAGAACCTTACCAAAATATCTGTTTGGGAACAAATTTGGCCATAGGCTTTGAATGGTGACAGCATGACGTGTGCAGGTGCAACTATTTCAGTGTGTTCTTTGTGCTGGCTGCTCCTGAAATTAGTATTTCAATACATAAGCTATGAAGTAAAGGGAAAAATGAGTCAGTAGAATTATGAATAAACATTATTTATCTTTATTTATCTTATGAATGTTAATTATGGCATTTTATATAATACCTTTTCTATATTAATCTGTGTTGTTGCTCTGTTAGGAAGATGGAGAATTCACTTGCATGTGTGCGTTGTTTGTCAGCGATATTTTCTAAATAAAGAGTTTGGCGTCACTGAGAAGTGTCTGCTTTCCTAAGAGTTTGATCCACCCAGCCTTTCACCCCCATTTTGGGTGACTTTGCAGGTGTTAAACAGGATGGCGCTGAGGCAGGAGGGTCTGACTACCAAAGATATCACTCTCAGAGCTGTTTTAGTTACACTTCATCATCACAAGCATATGGTTTCACTTCCAAGTGTTTAACATTTCCATTTCCTCAGGAAATCATTCCTTCTATTTTTTAAACTTTTGAAACGGGATGGATGTTTTTACTGGCAGGCGGAACGAGAGCGACACAAGGCCCAGCCCCGGCCCAGGAGAGCCCTGGCTGCGGTGCCCGCCCGCTTCCCCGTCCCTCCCCATCCTGCAGCAGCTCCTGAGCACGGCTCGGGGTGCCCCAGCCCCATCTCTGGGGTGCAGCACGCTGCTGAAACACTTCTTGCTCTAATAAAACCTTCCACTCCTTTTCCAGCTTGAGCTCAGACGTGTTTTTCTTTCTTAGTCCGCTCCGGGCCCATGCATCCCAAGAATTAGTTGAGTGCAGATTCCTTTAGCTGACTTGGTGAGGCCAACAGCAAGATCAGGGCCTAAGAAAATAATTTGTGTCACCTACAAGGAATGAAAGCATTTTTGTCATGTGTTTATTGTCTGTGTTGGTACATCCATGATGGAGGCGTGGATGGCTCCAGGGAGCTGCTCTGGCTGTTGCATTTTCAGAGATTATTTCTGGTATTTCCTTTTTCCTCATTACCAGTGGGTCACCCTTCTCACGTGCTGGCCAAGTTCTGTAGAGTAGGAGGAAGTCTGTGCTCATGACATATTTATGTTGTGTTTATCTGTGTATATCTATCTGTTTATTTGTACGTCGTAGTGTTTAGCTGGTTGTTTTCTTTCCCTGCTGTTCTATGAAGTTATGGATGTGCAATTAGCACACTAATTTACCTGGTCTCACTGGCCCTTTTGGTAGAAGATCATCCTCTGTTACATTGGGTGTCACAACTTTGATAAACTAACTGCATTTTGTACAACAGTTATCACTGTCCATCAAATGATGTTGTACAAGAAAAAATATGGGGCAAACCAGCTGATTATTGTGTTTGTCCCTTTCTGGTTTACTCTGTTATGAATCCAGACGGTCTCATTCTTTTTTGGCATGGGGGAACTTGCTGTGGGTCTGGGCTTCTGGAGGGATTGAGTCCTGTCACCAGGCAGGCCGTGTGCTATTGGTATTCAGAGTGTATGTTGTATTCATACCCTCACAAGAGCTGGTTAGTCAAGGCAGCAGGAACCAGCATCAGGCAGATGTAGTTAAACCTCCAAACCTCCCAGGAGAGCTCACCTGGGCTGCTGAGCCTCTGGCTTTGTGCTGGCCTCTGGGATGTTGTGAGGGCTGTTGTCCTGATCCACTCTCCTCACTCCTTCACTTCCCTTAGTGCTGTACATGTCTGCACGTCTCTCCAGCAGTTACTCACTAAAAATGCCACTTGGTCAAGCAGCACAAGCTGGTAGCACCCACAAGGACACCCCAAGGCTGCTCCATGTCCCAGGGATCCCGCTGCTTTTCCCACCACACCTATCAGTGCCATGGTGTTCCATGCTGAAGGCTCCAGCTCAGGCAAACAAACCAGTGCCAGGGGGTGGCTGCTGATAATTGACTGAAGGTCAAGTTAGGATTTACACAGTGGTTTTGATCCAGTTTTGCTTGTGAGAGGGCATCAAAACATTGCAGTTTTCTCAGTAGATTGAGTGATATCCTGATCCAAAATGGAATGGCAGTGCCAGCGAAAAAATGCTGCTGGCATGTTGTTCCCAACTGCTTCAGAAGACCAGACCAGAGCAGGACCAGACTGAATTAAAGCCCATTTCAGCTATCCCCAGTCCATGTCTCTAGTGACCACTGGACCAAGTTCCTGACCAAGTGCTTCAGAAATCAGTTCCTGAAGCACAGCCAGGTGCAGCACTGGACAGGCTCCCTCCTGCCCATTAGGAGAGGCAGCCTTGGCTGCTCCTGCCCGCTGTCACCCAGCTACAGGGCAGAGGTCCAACACCTCAAACAGCATTTTCTGTTCAGGATAAATGTCCCCAGAGCGCGGGGAGGCCCTGGCATGGACTGCCCAGAGAAGGAAGATGTGGGTGCCTCATCACTGGAAGTGTCCAAGGCCAGGTTGGTTGGAGCAGCCTGGGATAGTGGAAGGTGGCTCTGCCCATGGCAGGGGATGTGTAATTAGGTGATCTTTAGGATCCCTTCCAACACAAACCATTTTGTTATTCTGGGACAACCCATTTCCAACATTTCCAACCCAAACCATTCCATGATTCTATGACAATTCTGGTTTTGCAGAACATGGTCCCCAGGGCACAAGCTGAGTTGAGCAGGTCTTTCAGCTGGGTGCCTCAATGGCAAAGGGCAGCTTTGGATGCCTTCATCCATGGAATGGGAGGAGCTGAAGGGCATGGGGGCCAAAGCAGAGGGGGAATCAAAGACATGGCAGGAGTGACTGCAGGCCCAAGAGAGAAATAGCCAAGGCACTGACAACTTGTGTGGGTTTGGTATGTCTGTTTGCAGTGCTGTGTTATGTGTTTAGAAGCTGGTTGTTTCCATAATAACAGCAAGTGCCATATGGCAGCGAGGAGGGTGGTGAGAAGAATGCCTAAGGAAACACAGTATGTTGTTTGACATGTGTGTACTTGTAGAGGAATAACGTGTCTCAAGCAAGTATTGCTGCTCCAAGCAGGCTGGGGGATTTTCTGCTCTCACCAGAAAAATATCCAGAGCCCTTGGCATTTGTGCTGGTGCCATGCCAGTTAATGATGCTGATATTCTCCTGCTGATAGTCCTTGTGATGGGCAAAGGACCTTTTGCTGTACTGTGAGTGATGGCTGTGGATGCACCAGCACAGAGGAATGGCATTTAAACATGGCTTTTGAGGGGAAATGCAGTTCTGTGAGGAGTGCTGTGTTAAACTGAAATGAGCCAGATGCCATATGCTCTATCCATTCCTTAATGCTCAGCAATTAAATAGCAGAAATTTTGAAACCTTTGAAAATGCAGTGTTTACTATAATTGTTTAATTGAAAGTAGGCTAAGCATTTCCAGAGATGTGGAGCACTTTAGTGCATATCTAGGAAGCATCCAGGAAGATCTCCACAAATTCCAGCTTTTTCTGCCCTTTAATGTATGACTCATATTTCAAGGACTTGTAATTTGCTCCCCACATTCCCACCAGCACCACCAGTCTGTGCTGTACCTTTGCATACATTTCCACCACAGAAAAATATGAAATGATTTCTTCATAATAGCTGAATGGCTTTTGCTTGACCTTTACCAACAAAATTCATCCTCTCTTAATTGAGTCCTAAAGCCATTAATTGTATTTGTATTTGGATACCTGAAACATGGTGGCAGTGAGAAGGAGGTTGTGGTGATTTTGGGGTTGTAGTCCTGCACTCACTTGCAATGCTTTAAGCTCATGAACAACCCAAAAGGCAGAGCTGTTCTCATTTTTGTGCTTCTGTTCTTCTCTTTCTTGCCTGCAGAGAGAGATTACTGCAGCATATGTGAGAAGCAGCCCATTGGAAGGCTCCTCTTCCGGCAGTTCTGTGAGACCCGGCCCGAGCTCGAGTGCTGCATCAGGTTCCTTGACTCGGTGGTAAGTCACTTCTTGTGGTATTCTGGGGTGCTTTGCAATGTTCCCCTGACAGAGGAGACTTCTCTGACCTCAAGAAATCGCTGTTTTGTGGGATTTTGTGTCTGAAGTGCTGGAGCGGGACAGGGCTGGCCCCAGCATCAGCCCGGCACCACTGGTGGCACTGGGACACTCAGGGACATGAGCCACCAGAGAGGGTAAGGACAGTCACCCCCACAGTGCTGCTGTGGCCTCCTTTCATGTGAACACCTGAGCAGCTGAGCTGCTGTGAGCACTGTCTGCTGATGGGGGTGAAGCCTGCCCTGCTGGGAGGCACTGGGAGGAAAGGCAAGTTGAGAATGGGCTGACAAGAGAGGATGGGGAATGTAATAATCCTAATACCCCTTACCAAGGCTTTTCATCCACAGAGTTCAGGATGGTTCACAAAGGACACCCTGATAATCACCCTGTTTTTTTTCAAATAGGAGAACAGAGGCACAAAGTACAGAAATAACTTGACTGAGGTCACTGAGAAACAAATCTGCTCCATTTTCCACCCCAGTGAGCCATCAGTTAACCCAGGCACTGAGCATCACTCCCAAGCCCCGGGGGACCTGAGGCTCTTTCCCAGTCTGGCAGCACTTGGCCATGTGTCCTGCCAGCTGTTCACAGTGGAAAAGGCTCTCAGTCACTTCCTTTGCTGTGTAAGGGGAAGGTGTTGATCAGCCAAAAGGTGAAATGGTACCAAAGAACAAGAGGAACTTGGCACTTGTGAGTGCCCACAGAGTCTCGCTCCCTGGCTAACACTGAACTCAGAAGCAAAACAATGCACACCAACAGGAATAAAATTGTTTTGTTTGCACCATGGTGAAGCTACTCTGAAGTATAGGGAAATGTGAGGATTGCCCTGAAGCTGTAAAAATAATAGTCTGGAGAGGACATATGGTATCTTAAGGTTTACATTACTCCTGCATTACAACAGCAAATCTGCAGCATCACAAAAAGTGTTCAATAAAGTCTGAATCAGTTTTTAAATATTTGAAATCAATAAACAAAGGAGACTGCTGTTAATTTTTAAATTTTCAAATATTATTGAATTCAAATTTAATTATTCTGTATAAGCTTGCTCCTAGCCCATGAAAATCCCTGCATTAGGCAATATTAAGGTCAAGCAACACAGCCCTTGGCCATTACATTGGATGATTGCTACTGAAATTTGCCCAGCGGGGTCACACTGTGTTTAGTGAGTGGTGGGATTCAAGCCAAGCCCTATGTTAGGCAAAAAAGGCCCTATAATGAGACCAGGAGTCTGACTTTACAGCCTAATCTGAGACCACCAGGAATGGAAAACCTTTTCTAGACCACCTGCTGTAACAAGCAGGAAAAGCCAAGAGCCTTCCTTTTCTTTTGTCTCAGTTATTTTTCTAACACAAGATGCAAAAATTACCTTTTGTGTAATGTCAAATAAAGGGAAAAGATAAAAGGGGATAATATTTAGCTGTTCTTGAGGGACTCATGGAGCTTTTTGCACATTGAAAGGGAGGTCCACCTCTCTTTTTCAGTGCCCATCTAAGTGACTTTACCAGGTGGCACAGTAAGACACTGGCAGGAGCCAGTACTTGATGCCTCCCAATATTTTATACAGTTTTTGTGCTCATGCACTAGACTGTCTGCAAGGAAAGAAGTGACTGAGGCTTCTGGGAGAAAACCAGAAGCTGAGTCAGACATTTAACAACCTCTCACCATCCTTGTGAGAGACTGAGCTCTCTCACACCTCTGCTTCCAAAGGCTGGTGGAATCATCCAGACCTTGCAGACCAGAATATGTAAAGAGACAAAAAAAATCCTCTCTTGACTGGACATTTCTGTCAGCTGTTGTGTGAAATACCTAACCTGGTTTGAAGTAGTCTCCTGCAAATGTAATTATGGCAGGATTTGGGGTTTTTTTTCCTGTTAAACAGTTGTTAAGCTGCCTTCTGAAGAGAAAGGATTTATATCACTGAATTCTGCATGCATGTAGGCGTGTAGCTGTCAGCTCCCTCTGAGACCTGTGAATACCTTGGCCAATTTCAACCAGTAATTGAGAGGAAAGTGCTCAGAGGCATAAAGTCTCCCCATGTTTTGTGAGAGCAGTGTTTGGGTAATTAGTCACAATCGATTGTAGCCCAGACTAACACGACATGTGGTTTGTAAGCAGCAGGCCCCAACTCTAGATGATAACAGTGATAAGAACAAAGAGATGCAGAGCTCTGCAGCACAGCACTGCTGGAGCTGTGGGTGTTTGGTTCCCACTGCTGCTGTGGGACCTGTCAGTGTGTCTGTCTGTCTGTCTGTCTGGGAGATGGAGCAACAGCAGCCCCTTCTCCCAGCTGGCAGGAGGGCTGTAAGGACAGACAGCCATCTCTTGCTGCAGATATTGGGCAAACAAGCTCATGGCAGAGGTCCTGATTGCTGAGATGAAATATGCACCGAGCTCCCGTGGGGCTCTGGAGGCCTCACGTGCTGGTCTGGGTGCTTGGAACCACAGAGATCTCCTTGAAAGGCTCAGCAAAGCCCGATGGAGCCATTCACATGGAGGAACTGTGTGAGCACAAGCTGTTGTCATTAGGTGGAGATGGTTTGTGATTACATGGGCTCCTCTAGAAGCCCTCAGCCAAGGAGTCACGCACAGCCCTGAAGCGCACTGTGCTCTGCTTACAAATATTCTAGCAACATTGGAGCTGTTGAAAGAGAGCCATGGAAATAAAGTGTGAGGGGAAATGTTTCCTGTGCTAAAAGGCAGATCAGTGAGCAGGCAAGGGGCTAGCAAGATGTGTTTGCTTCTCCACAGCCAGTGCCTCCAGCACAGGAAGGTGGGGACCTTCTTGTCCAGTTCAGCAGGGACCTCCTGCTCCTGTCCCCTTCTCATCAGCACTTTCCCTGACACTTCCTTCTCCTCTCCTGTGATTTTCATTTGTCATTAAAATGAAGGCTTTCACTTCTGGACTCCCTTTCCTGCTTCATCTACTCACATTCATAATGGTTTTTTGCCAAGGGAGGGCTTTTAACAATTTAATGTGGACCAGATTTAGGTTGACTGGTGGAGAATGTGGACAATTTTGGTCATTATTTTCTCTCTAATGTGAACAAGGTTACATTTTTGCGCTGGAGTCACACAAAAATACATCCTCTGGAGAAAAAATAGCCCTGCTGCCTCTCCAGGTTGTATCTGCTTGTGGTATTTGGGCTCAGGGTGAGAGGCACAATCTCCTCGGGTGGACTTTTCAGCTGAATGCTTCACTGGACATGGAACTTACCTGGGGTGAAAGGATGAGTGAGCATCCATTTAATGCCATTTGTGAAAACCCTGCCTTGCTGTTAGGGAGATTTCATTTGGTTAAGTCCCTTTTGTGGTATATAAACCATCTGTGTGTGTGTGTCTTAAAGCTGTTCAAGTCTTTTCCCATCAGAAATGCCAGTTTGTTGGTATCAACAAACTCATTAACTCAAAACGTGTTTTCAAACAGTTGAAAGGGCCCTCTTTGCCCTGCCTTTAAATATAAAAAATACGGTTTCAAGTTCACTTTTCATTTAGAAATGTGAGTTATTATGAATCCCAGCTGTTTGGGGTTTGTCTTCCAGTTTTCAGTCACAGATTTTAAATCTTCAGCAGAGGCAAGTGCAAGGACAGGCACTGAGGACAGAGCAATAGCAGGGCAGAGCCTGGAGTCTGAGAAGGGACTGAGCAGAGAGATGTTCTCAGATAACAGAGGAGGGAGCTGAGAAAGTGGAGGTGAAAAATTGGGATTGAAATGCCAGCAACCTCCTGCAGATGCTCAAAAGGTGATTCCACTGTTCCTGACTTTTACCAAGAAGCCAAAACTGCTCTGGGGGAGCGTCTGTTCCCATCTCCATCTCCTGGTGGGTACAAAGGGTGATGATTCCCTCAGCCATGCCATGCTGCTGTGGGAGAGCATCCTCCAGATCTGCAGAGAGATCTCTTTGGATGTGTTTTTCCATTTTCACATATTTTTATCTGTGCAGTTTCAGGAGCCCAAATAATATTGAGGTGAAAATCAGATACTCCATAAATTGATGTGTCAGAATCAATGTGAGCCCCTGTGGGGTCCTTGTGTCACTGCCCTGGTAGCTCTCCATCCATCACAGGCCCCAGACCTGAGCTGTCCCTGAGCCTGTGGCTGTCCCATCCCACAACCAGGCTGGATGCTGCTCCTTTCCCAGCTAAGGAGCATTTTTCCATCTGATCTCAGCCCATCCTGAGGGCAGCTGCTCCAAAGGGAAGGACACTTTGCACTCCCATTCCCCCACCCAGCCACGGCTGCTTCCATGGAAGAAGGAGCCACCAGCATGACTGCTGCCTCTAAAAGAGCAGCCAGAAGGAAAGCTAGCAGCAGACAGTGGCCAGCCCACATCCTCTCTCCATTTGGGCTGGAGGATCTGTGCCTGCCCACAGAAAGAGCCTTCCCTGCAGCTTGTCCCACGGAGTCAGGGTGATCGTAAATCCTCCCCTCATTTATGGGCTATGAATAGGGCCCTGTCTGACCCAACCAGGGCATGGGGAAGCTATTAGACTTCAGAGCAGGAGCCTTGAAACACATGCCCGGATTCATCAAAGGAATAATGGAAAATAGTTTGTTCCACGGATTATAAGAAATTATGTTATTTCTAGCAATTAGGGATTTGCAAACTGTGCTTTTGAATATTGGGAAAGAAGGGGAGGTATCTTGTGATTTAAGCACAACACCAGGGGTTGAGGACCTTGGTGGCTTCCCAGGCAGGTGGCAGAGAGAGCATGGGGACATCCCTGTCTATCTGCTGTAATAACAGGTCGTGGCTGGAGATGCACCAGGGTCTGAATAGCTCAAAAATGGCACTGAAGGGAGAAATAATAATGAGATTAGGGACAAAATGGAACAGGCTTCTAGTGCAGACCTGCAGTGAAATCAACACTGTGCACAGTTGGAGCTTATGGTTCCTTTTCACATCCTCACTTGTCTGTCACTTCCCACCTTCGCCGCCACCGTGTCACATTCTCTGGGAATGTCAAATGCAAGTGTAATTTAACTTTCCTTTTATTCTATGCTGTCTGTCTTGAGGCAGAACAAGATCCTCTGTGCATGTATAGGTGTGCATTTAGCTCTGCATATGTTGGATCCCGTTTCCCATGTTGGAATTGCATTTCAAGACGTCAGTTCTTGCTGAGTTTCTGCCCCCTGGTCTGTCCTGATTTGTTTTCTGTTGTACAGTTCTGATGGGATGTAACTGTTATAGGTTATGTGTGGCAAAAAGGACAACAAATTTTTCAACAGCTCTCTGGTTCACTTCAAATAGGAGATGATGACTTATAATCAGGTTTTATTTGCTTGGGAGACAATATATTATCAGAGTTTGAAAGCAAATGAAGGAGAGAGAAATCATGGAGAAAAATGTTGCTAAGATGCTCTAAGCATTTCAGAGTTCCTGCACTTTAAGAGCTGAAATGACCCATACTCAGATACCATCTAAAAGGACAGAAAATTAGATAAAATATTTTTTTAAACCCTTGAATTAAGTTTTATAAGAACCTAATCATCCCCAAAACTGTCACTTAAAAAGCAGTACTGTACTTGTAGGTTTTAGATTTTGGTTGTTTTTTCATCATTCTTATTTGTGGCCATTATCATTTCCCAAATCAAATCAGATCATAATTCCAGATTGTTCAAGCAACCTGCCATGCCTGTGTGTAAATATGCAGCTCCAGACCTGAGCTGCAATAGCTAAATGAGCCCTGGCCAGAGAGAAGGGGAATAGCATTATTACTACATTGTGGTTTCCATGTCATTCCTGGGTTTGCTTAGCTGGGGTATCCATTACAGCCAGCCTGCAGATTTATTGCATCCAGCCTGGAGCAGCACATACATCTTCCAATGGGCAATAGTTCTGAAATTTCTTCTTCCAAGTGTTTGCCAGTCCAGTCTGATTTACCTTTTTTTTTTTTTTTTTGTTAAGCTTCCTCCTCATTTATCATCACAGACAGCTTGTATTGGACCAGGTTATTTAATTGGCTTGGCAGGATTTTCTGGGATCCTTTTTTTTAATACAGTCATGAAAACTGCTAGGCTGTTGTCTTCTTTTTTTTTTTTTAATTTTTATTTTATTAAATTCTGGAAAATATTTTGACCTGAAGGCTAAAGCTTCATATCCCAAGCAGTGCCAAGAATGTCCCTAAGAGAACTTGTTGTCATTTAGCCACTGGAGTCCCCTGCAGCATGTGTTTCCTTCAAATGCCTGCCATGGATCTAAAACTTTAGGTGAAGTGATTAATATCTGCATGGTACACACATTGTGCTTCTTTTGCTTCTAATGTAAACAAAACTCATCAAAAGCCAGTAATGCTTCAATACCTAGAGCAGTCAGAATTTTAAAATACAGGTAGGGTGTGAGGATGGGATGCTCCCTTCTTTAATACACTAGGGAAGCCAAAGAGAATTTTCCTTATGATGCCTATTCCTCTAAGTGGTCTCTCTTGTTTCCTCTTGGACCTAAGAAATCTGCCTAAGAAATCAGCAAGGGCTGAGCCAAGGGTCACTAATAGTGATGGGCAGGTCTCTCTGCTTTGCACAGATATTGTTAGATCAAGGTCAAGGCATAAATATATAGAAAAGACACATTAAACAAAAAAGACAAAATATGGAAGAGAATATATGGAGAATATATGTTTCATGTGCCAAGTGAAAAAGCCATATTTTTTATATATATATATATATATTATATATGGGGGTTTTTTCACCTGAAACACCACTATGGCAAGGGTTAACAATCATTCACTTTCTCTACTACTCAGAGAAATAATTTTACCTTCTGTGTCCACCTTCCTTATGAGCAAAACCAAATAAAGCTGATGTCTCTTGTCAGTGAATGCTTTCTGAAAGCTGGCTTTGCAAGGTTATAAAATATAAATTAATTAAATGGTATTGGTGTTAATTAAGAGACAAAGCCTCAGAAGATGCACTGCTAGGGTTTGGTCAAAATACAGTGGAAGGTTTTTAATAAGATTGTGTGTTCAGGTTTTACTTCCACCAGAAAATGATATTTGTCCTTCAGATTTTTCATACAGAGTGTTCTGTTAAGGCCACATCCAAAATGAAGTTATAATGGTGAAATATGAGTGCAAATATTGACTTTTATTTTTTATATGTCTTGTTCCAGGCAGAATATGAAATTGCTCCAGATGAAAAGCTGGGAGAGAAAGGGAAGGAAATCATGATGAAATACCTCACCCCAGAGGTAAGGGGCAGCCAAAGTGGCATTACTGAAGGAATTCTGCACGGCACACCTTTACTAAACAAGGTTGTTACAGGCTTTGTAAGCCAGACTCCTAAAATTTATGGTGGCAATCTCCAGTGAATAAACCTGCAAGTCTTACACAAACAGTCAGAGAGAAAAAAAAATTATAATGCAGTCCAGAAATTTACTTCTAAGGATGAACTGGACTTAGCAGGGGCTTAATTCATCTGTAGGTGAGCAGAGAGCTTCTCTGGTCTCTCCTCAGTGTACAAAGCTTTGCATTGGGAGTGTAATACAAAAGACCTGTTGCCAACAGATGCCCCAATTATTTCCTATCCAGCTCAGAAGTGGTGGTGGCATTTCATATTCTGTTGTGTAGGAAGCACAGGCAAAAATGGTTTTTCATAGCAGAGACTGTATTTTGGTACAGAAATTCCCATTTCTCCCCCAGCCCCATTTCCCCCAGGCTGGGGACATGCAGGGGACAGAGGGGTTGGGAGCTCAGAGGCTCTGTCACCCATCCTCGTGCCCAGGGTGGGTCCTGAGTGTTCCTCTGTGTCTGTGGGAAGGAGAGGAGCTCCTGGGAGCAGCATCCACAGGGTGGCACTCCAAACAGGGACACATGATGTGCTGCTGGAATTTGGGACAGGCTGCTCTGGGACCAGCCCTTCTCGGGGGGTTACAATCATTTCCTGACCACATTTCACCTTTGCTGCACAAGTCACTGCCAGTAAGCAGTAAACATCCAGCTTCAAACACAAGAGCAGCTTCAAACACAAGAGCCATCCTGGGATTTTTCCTAAGTTGCTTTCGTAAGAGTAATCAAAGATGTACAACTGCTGCTTCAACTATTTTACAAAAGTAATACATTTGACCTTCAGGAGAATTAATCACATTTTTGGCAGATGTCTTTCTAGAGGGCTTAAGTGGTACAATATGTTTTGGAGGTGCAGGGGCAGAGCAGACCACTCTTTTTCCACTCAGTCATTTTCCTACAATAAACTTTGATGCATATTTTCAGTTATCTCAGGCTGCATTTTGGGATCTGGTTTCATTTACTGGGCCTGGCTAGTTTCATGTGCAGCCATTGAGCACTGCCAGTATGAGTTCCTGCTGCCCATTCATTAGGGGCACGAAGTTCCACTGCTTTTTAAATCCACCAAAATGACCTTTTGTCTTAAAATTCCTGTCAACAGAGCAACAAACTCTGAGGGAAACCATTTCCCACTGCTCCAGCTCCCATCTGGAAAGGGAGAAAGGCATTTTGCTGATAGCAGAGCTAGTGAAGTGAGGGGAGGATAGCATTGCTTCACTTCAGCCAGTCCTGCTGCAGGTTTCCAAAAGCCCTTCACTGCTGTCCAGTGGCTCTCCTGCCATCCATGGTGCAGCCAGAAGCACATGGAATAATTTAGTGAATGTGCGGTGAAGACCAAGCTGAAAACTGCTGCTTCTTCATCAACAAAGAACAGTGGTGTTGCAGGAAGGAAAAATACTGGGACTCCAGAGCTGGAGTTTCCATTCTCTGCCATGCCCTGGACTTCTTATTTGACCTGTGTACCTGGTTTCTCAGTATGTAAAATTGGCACAGCATATTTACAGTCTGCCCTGAGACTTTTCTGGTATTTGCAAGTTACCTTAACAACTCTGAGCAGAAGGAAACTGGATGACCTCCAGTGGTCCCTTCCAACATCACCCATTTTGTGATCCTGTGAAACACAGAGCTACCCTCCTTCACTTGTAATCTAAAACTGCCTCCCTGCTGGTGGTGCTTTAATGTCTGCATTGGTCTTGCTGCACTTTTGTTCCTTAATGAGAAACTTCTGCTTGTTCCCAGAGGGATGTGGAAACCCTGCATAGCAGAAAATGCTTCCTGGAGGCAAGGGTGACTGTGCTGTAACAATGGGTTGGATACTGGACTTTCTGATAGGTGTCCCATGCAATGAATACTTAAAAAACCAGAGAAAGGCCTGGATTGATTTAATTTCATTTTAGATACCTAACTAAGGTAGTCAGGTTAGGAGTGCAGATGGCCTACTGTCCTTTCTTGTCAAGAAAGAGAAATAAGTATCTCCAAAGGACACATTAGAAGTCAATGATTGAAAGGACTGGTGTCTCAGTCCAAGCAGATGAATCTGGACCCAAATGTCCTAATGGAACATCATCCTGGCCAGCAAAGAAACCTTCTTTTCATTGGAATCAGCATTTTCTATTTAATAATCAGTCCCTTGAAAGGTACAAATTGCTGCTCTTTCTGGAGTCTTCTGCTTTCAGCTGAAAGCTTCTTTTAAGTAGGTGTGTGTCTGTGCTTCAAAGAACCTGATTGTCTTGATACAAAAAAAGCGTGACATGCAGCTTGACTGATAGAATAAAATTACAGGTTTAGTTCTTGGACAGATAATTCAGTCTTATAATGTGAGGAGTGTTTTTCCCAGAGTGCAGGATCAGAAACACAGTGAAAACAAAAAGTAGACTTCTCGCTCTTTAATATTTATAAATGATTTTTAGCTCTTGCTTCGGTTTTTAAAGGGCATACATATTTAACATAAAACGTGTCAGTGTATCACCCTTCCAAAGGGCGCTCATTTGCATGGGGAACATGCACTTTATTTAATAAAACATACACTTCTTGCACAGCAGAAAGGAGGAGAAGGCACTTTCCCAGATGAGCAGACATCCCAGCAGGACTCCCAGCCCCGTGTGAGTCACAGAGTCACAGCCTGTGAGACGTCTGCCCTGAGGCCACCCAGCAAACCCTGCCCTTGCCAGCATGCTGGAGCAAGGAGGTGCTTTCTCAAGTGATCACAGCTCAGGCTCTCCACAGCTTTGGCATCCTGAACAGCCCCTACATGCTTGTGGGGAAATTGAAATCTTAGTCCTGGTGGACAAACAGGTCAGGCTTCCACCATGTCCCTGACCTACAGGCAGCAGCAGTGACAAAGCCTGACAAATGCTGGCACCTGGAAGGAAACATGGGTGGTTTGGGTGGAAGGAAACAGGGGTGGTTTAGGTGGAAGGAAATGCGGAAGGTTTAGGTGGAAGGAAATGTGGGTAGTTTAGGTGGAAGGACATATGGGTGCCTAGGTGGAAGGAAATGTGGGTGGTTTAGGTGGAGGAAATGTGGGTGGTTTAGGTGGAAGGAAATATGACTGGTTTAGGTGGAAGGAAACATGGGTGGTTTAGGTGGAAGGAAATATGACTGGTTTAGGTGGAAGGAAACATGGGTGGTTTAGGTGGAAGGAAATATGACTGGTTTAGGTGGAAGGAAACATGGGTGGTTTAGGTGGAAGGAAATATGACTGGTTTAGGTGGAAGGAAATATGACTGGTTTAGGTGGAAGGAAACATGGGTGGTTTAGGTGGAAGGAAATGTGGGTGGTTTAGGTGGAAGGAAACATGGGTGGTTTAGGTGGAAGGAAATGTGGGTGGTTTAGGTGGAAGGAAATGTGGGTGGTTTAGGCCTCTCAAAGAAGAAGTACATAGAACAACCTCCCTAAGGGTGTAGTGGAGTCCTTATCACTGGAGGTTTTCAGGATGCTGTTGGGCACTGCATCGTCTCATCTAGACTCCCTTTCCCATGAAATCTTCAAAGGTCCCTTCCATGCTGAGCTGTCCCAGGATCCTGTGTACCCAGGCCCTAGGAAGTCAGCAGCATTCCCTCTCTCTTGCCTGAAGTTCACTGAAACAGCCACATCCAACAGCCTGTTCTGAGCTCTTTGATGGAAGGGAAATGTAAGATCTCCACACTAGAAACACCAAAATACAAGTGTTTTCATGGCTTCTGCAGCAGCTTTGCTTGAGGGGTCAGCAGGAGGGCAAAAAACCCACAGGAAGGGTGTCCTGTAGCTGAGGGAAACATTTTCTGAAGAATTATTCCTCCTCCGTGCACAGGAGCAGCACAATGGTTGTCACACCAGCCAGGCCAAGGTTTCCTGACTAGAGTCTTGCTTCTTTAAAAAAGGCTTTAACAATTTCCATGAAAAAGACACTTAAAGCTGCCTTCTTGACTTCATAAGCCCCTAGGGCAGAAGTCCAAGCCACAGGAAGTCTGAAATTTCTGAGGTTGTGAAATATGATGGTAAAATGAATTGGTCACAAATATTTCTTCCCTGTTTTTTTTCCTAATCTCAGCAGTTGAGTGGAAAAGGTTCAGTTTTAGGTCCAGTTCCATCTGTAAATGGCTCCATTGAACTGTTGAATTAAACTGAACCCAACCTGGCTTCATTACCTGACTGCTTCTTGTACTGGAAGAGCAAAGAGATATATTTACCTTTGTACTGCTTTTAAATTAGAGTTTTACGTCTCCACGCAGCATTTTTTCCTTCCTGCCTGACAGCTGCCATGCCTTACTCCACTAAATCACTATCCCACTATTTGCTTTTTCACTGTAAATCACCTTGAGAGACTTGAAGAGACGCTATATAAAACTAAATTGATTTGAAATGGCTCTTAAGACAGTCTCCATATGCCATTATAGTTTATATTTGGACTCAGCTGGGTACTAAAAATGTTACTGAACAGGATGTCTAATGTGTATTGTTATCCCCATTAAAATACTTCACAGAATATGAAGAACAGCAACAACATGAATTTTCTTATCTGAATTCCTGTCCAGTACCCTTTCCTCCAGGAAATGCACAGAATAAAGGCCATGTTTGCACTTTCTTTGCTGCAAGAGGTTGGCTGGGCACAGCAATAACCTCCTTACACCAGTCTGAGGCTATCAGTGGGGATTTTGGTAAACAAAACTATGTCTTTGTTTTTATGAACAATTATAGGATAAGGAAGGGAGGGAAAAGTCCCTTGAAAGGGCCTCTGGCTGGTCAGCAGTGATCAGCCTTCCACTTGTCTACTGGCAAAAATGTGCCTTTCTCTCAAACTAGTTGTTTATGGAGAAGAAAACATCTCCATAAGATGGGTGAGATGAAATTAAAATTGCACATGAGGCTTTCTGCTGGGCCAAGCCACGTGGCTGAGCCAGGCTGCTGCTCACAGACACCTCTC